ATTAACACACACACGCCTTGCACACCTTACACGATTTGCACAGATTACACAAGCCTTACTTACACCACCCTTACCATAACGACTGACATGCCCTATCCCTATAGCGCGCCTTACACACAACTAACATTCCTCACACAGCCTACAGTGCCTTACACCACACTTACACACGGCTTACACTGCACGTACCTTACACGGCTTACACTGCACATACCTTACACGGCTTACACCACACTTACACACGGCTTACACTGCACATACCTTACACGGCTTACACCACACTTACACACGGCTTACACCACACTTACACACGGCTTACACTGCACATACCTTACACGGCTTACACCACACTTACACACGGCTTACACTGCACATACCTTACACGGCTTACACCACACTTACACACGGCTTACACTGCACATACCTTACACGGCTTACACCACACTTACACACGGCTTACACTGCACGTACCTTACACGGCTTACACCACACTTACACTGCACATACCTTACACGGCTTACACCACACTTACACACTCTTACGCGCCACCAGCCTTACACACTACTTACACACGGCTTACACTTCACGCGCCTTACACACACCTTACATACGGTCATATGTTCCTTACGGATTACACTACAGATGTCTTACACACTCATTATACACGGCTTACACAACACACCCCTTACACACAGCTTACACTACACTCCTTACACGCGGCTTACACTACACACTCCTTACACGCGGATTACACTACACACCCCTTACACGCAGCTTACACTACACACTCCTTACACGCGGCTTACACTACACACTCCTTACACGCGGTTTACACTACACACCCCTTACACGCGGCTTACACTACACACTCCTTACACTACACACTCCTTACACGCGGCTTACACTACACACTCCTTACACGCGGCTTACACTACACACCCCTTACACGCGGCTTCCACTACACACTCCTTACACGCGGCTTACACTACACACCCCTTACACGCGGCTTACACTACACACCCCTTACACGTGGCTTACACTACGCACTCCTTACACGTGGCTTACACTACACACCCCTTACACGCGGCTTACACTACACACTCCTTATAAGCAGCTTACACTACAAATTCCTTACACGTGGCTTACACTACACACTCCTTACACGCGGCTTACACTACACACCCCTTAGACGCGGCTTACACTCCACACCCCTTACACGTGGCTTACACTACACACCCCTTAGACGCGGCTTACACTCCACACCCCTTACACGTGGCTTACACTACACACTCCTTACACGCGGCTTACACTACACACCCCTGACACGCGGCTTACACTACACACTCCTTACACGCGGCTTACACTACACACCCCTTACACGCGGCTTACACTACACACCCCTTACACGCGGCTTACACTACACACCCCTTGAACGCGGCTTACACTACACACTCCTTACATGCGGCTTACACTACACACCCCTTACACGCGGCTTACACTACACACCCCTTACACGCGGCTTACACTACACACCCCTTACACGCGGCTTACACTACACACTCCTTATACTACACACCCCTTACACGCGGCTTACACTACACACCCCTTACACGCGGCTTACACTACACACCCCTTACACGCGGCTTACACTACACACCCCTTGAACGCGGCTTACACTACACACCCCTTACACGCGGCTTACACTACACACCCCTTACACGCGGCTTACACTACACACTCCTTATACTACACACTCCTTACACGCGGCTTACACTACACACTCCTTACACGCGGCTTACACTATACACCCCTTACACGCGGCTTACACTACACACCCCTTACACGCGGCTTACACCACACACTCCTTACACGCGGCTTACACTACACACTCCTTACACGCGGCTTACACTACACACCCCTGACACGCGGCTTACACTACACACCCCTTACACGCGGCTTACACTACACACTCCTTACACGCGACTTACACTACACACTCCACTCCTTACACGCGGCTTACACTACACACTCCTTACACTACACACCCCTTACACGCGGCTTACACTACACACCCCTTACACGCGGCTTACACTACACACCCCTTACACGCGGCTTACACTACACACCCCTTACACGCGGCTTACACTACACTCCTTACACGTGGCTTACACTACGCACTCCTTACACGTGGCTTACACTACACACCCCTTACACACGGCTTACACTACACACTCCTTACACTACACACCCCTGACACGTGGCTTACACTACACACCCCTTACACGCGGCCTACACTACACACCCCTTACACACGGCTTACACTACACACCCCTTACACGCGGCTTACACTACACACCCCTTACACTACACACCCCTTACACGCGGCTTACACTACACACCCCTTACACGCGGCTTACACTACACACCCCTTACACTACACACCCCTTATACGCGGCTTACACTACACACCCCTTACACTACACACCCCTTACACTACACACCCCTTACACTACACACCCCTTACACGCGGCTTACACTACACACTCCTTACACTACACACCCCTTACACGCGGCTTACACTACACGTTTGTGATCTCGATACTCACAGCCTCCGTCCCTGTGGCAACCAGGGCGATCGTGGCGAGGCCTGAGAACACCACCACCACTAATTATAATTACTACTCATGCCCACCATACTGCCTGGGAACACCACCACCACTAATTATAATGACTACTCATGCCCACTGCACTGCCTGAGAACACCACCACCACTAATTATAATGACTACTCATGCCCACCACACTGCCTGAGAACACCACCACCACTAATTACAATGACTACTCATGCCCACCACAATGCCTGAGAACACCACCACCACTAATTATAATGACTACTCATGCCCACCACACTGCCTGAGAACACCACCACCACTAATCATAATGACTACTCATGCCCACCACACTGCCTGAGAACACCACCACCACTAATTATAATGACTACTCATGCCCACCATACTGCCTGAAAACACCTCCACCACTAATTATAATGACTACTCATGCCCACCATACTGCCTGAGAACACCACCACCACTAATTATAATAACTACTCATGCCCACCACACTGCCTGAGAACACCACCACCACTAATTATAATGACTACTCATGCCCACCACACTGCCTGGGAACATCACCACCACTAATTATAATGACTACTCATGCCCACCACACTGCCTGAGAACACCACCACCACTAATTATAATGACTACTCATGCCCACCACACTGCCTGGGAACACCACCACCACTAATTATAATGACTACTCATGCCCACCATACTGCCTGAGAACACCACCACCACTAATTATAATGACTACTCATGCCCACCATACTGCCTGAGAACACCACCACCACTAATTATAATGACTACTCATGCCCACCACACTGCCTGAGAACACCACCACCACTAATTATAATGACTACTCATGCCCACCACACTGCCTGAGAACACCACCACCACTAATTATAATGACTACTCATGCCCACCACACTGCCTGAGAACACCACCACCACTAATTATAATGACTACTCATGCCCACCATACTGCCTGAGAACATCGCCATTGGTAGTGATGGTTACGCTGCTGTTTATGATTGTGCTGACGATATGGTGGTGGTGCTGCTCCTAGTAATGCTGATACTACTGCTGATCATACTGCTGCTTGCTGATTGTATTACTGATACTACTGCTGGTAAAGATGCTGATAATGATGGTGGTACTCCTTGTTAATGCTGATGCTACCGCTGATTTTATCACTGATACTACCGCTGATGCTACCGCTGATTTTATCACTGATACTACCGCTGATGCTACCGCTGATTTTATCACTGATACTACCGCTGATGCTACTGCTGATTTTATCACTGATACTCCCGCTGATGCTACCCCTGATTTTATCACTGATATTACCGCTGATGCTACCGCTGATTTTATCACTGATACTACCGCTGATGCTACTGCTGATTTTATCACTGATACTACCGCTGATGCTACCGCTGATTTTATCACTGATACTACCGCTGATGCTACTGCTGATTTTATCACTGATACTACCGCTGATGCTACCGCTGATTTTATCACTGATACTACCGCTGGTGCTACTGCTGATTTTATCACTGATATTACCGCTGATGCTACCCGATTTTATCACTGATATTACCGCTGATGCTACTGCTGATTTTATCACTGATATTACCGCTGATGCTACTGCTGATTTTATCACTGATACTCCCGCTGATGCTACTGCTGATTTTATCACTGATATTACCGCTGATTCTGCTGCTGTTGCTGCTTGCTGGTGGCTATGACACCGCTGCTGCTACTGTTGCTGATGGCGCTGCTGCTTACTGATGATGATGATCATCATCATCATCAGCCGCGCACGTGTCCGCCCATCGTCAACAACAAAGTCCAGAGCGCCGGATATCACAGACACTGACAGCGCAGGCCGCGCCGTTATCTTCTCCACCCCACCACCACCACCCCACCACCACCCCACCACCACCACCACCCCACCACCACCACCACCCCACCACCACCACCACCACCCCACCACCACCACCCCACCACCACCACCACCCCACCACCACCACCCCACCACCACCACCCCACCACCACCACCACACCACCACCACCACCCCACCACCACCACCCCACCACCACCCCACCACCACCACCACCACCCCACCACCACCACCACCACCCCACCACCACCACCACCACCCCACCACCACCACCCCACCACCACCACACCACCACCACCACCCCACCACCACAACCACCCCACCACCACCCCACCACCACACCACCACCACCACCCCCACACCACCACCACCCCACCACCACCCCCACCCCACCACCACCACCCCACCACCACCACACCACCACCCCACCACCACCACACCACCACCACCACCCATTCCCTCCTCTTCCTCCCTCCACCTCCTCACGTTGTTGTTGATGGCGCGCAGGGCGTGAGTGCTCATCTCGCCACGGGGGTTGTGGCCACCACCACCACCACTACTACCACTACCACCACTACTACTACTACCACTACTACCACCACCACCACTACCACCACTACTACCACCACCACAGCGGCGGAGGGGTGTTCGTGGCGGGCGGGGGTCCCGGAGCGCCGCCGAAATCGCCACAGCCGCCTGCTGCTGTTGCTGGCTTCCTGATGCTGCTGCTGTTGCTGCTGCTCGCTGCTGTTGCTGCTGCTGCTGTTGCTGCTGCTGCTGTTGTTGCCGCTGTTGTTGCCGCTGCTCGCTTCTGTTGCTGCTGCTGCTGGTTCTTGATGCTGCTTGCTGCTACTGCTGGGTCACTGTTTTAGCCCCCCACTCGCTCGCTCGCTCCCTCCCCACTGCTCCCCCCCACCACCATCCTCCTCCTGTCACTCTTCCCCCCCTCCAACCACCACCACCTCCAACAACCACCACCTCCTCCAACAACCACCACCAACCACCACACCTCCAACAACCACCACCAACCACCTCCAACAACGACCACCAACCACCACCACCTCCAACAACCACCACCAACCACCACCACCTCCAACAACCACTACCTCCAACAACCACCACCACCTCCTCCTCCAACAACAACCAACACCACCTCCAACAACCACCAACAACCACCACCACCTCCAACAACCACCTCCAACAACCACCACCTCCTCCAACAACCACCACCTCCTCCAACAACAACCTCCAACAACCACCACCTCCTCCAACAACCACCACCAACCACCACCACCACCTCCAACAACCACCTCCTCCAACAACCACCACCACCTCCTCCAACAACAACCTCCAACAACCACCACCTCCTCCAACAACCACCACCACCTCCAACAACCACCACCTCCAACAACAACAACAACAACCACCACCACCTCCAACAACCACCACCAACCACCACACCTCCAACAACCACCACCAACCACCACCACCTCCAACAACCACCACCAACCACCACCACCTCCAACAACCACTACCTCCAACAACCACCACCACCTCCAACAACAACAACAACCACCACCACCTCCAACAACCACCAACAACCACCACCACCTCCAACAACCACCTCCAACAACCACCACCTCCTCCAACAACAACCTCCAACAACCACCACCTCCTCCAACAACCACCACCACCTCCAACAACCACCACCACCTCCAACAACCACCACCAACCACCACCACCTCCAACAACCACCTCCTCCAACAACCACCACCTCCTCCAACAACAACCTCCAACAACCACCACCTCCTCCAACAACCACCACCACCTCCAACAACCACCACCACCACCACCACCTCCAACAACCACCAACAACCACCACCTCCAACAACCACCTCCAACAACCACCACCTCCTCCAACAACCACCACCTCCTCCAACAACAACAACCTCCAACAACCACCACCTCCTCCAACAACCACCACCACCTCCAACAACCACCACCAACCACCACCACCTCCAACAACCACCACCTCCAACAATCACCACCACCTCCAACAACCACCACCACCTCCAACAACCACCAACAACCACCACCACCTCCAACAACCACCTCCAACAACCACCACCTCCTCCAACAACCACCACCTCCTCCAACAACAACCTCCAAGAACCACGATCTCCTCCAACAACCACCACCACCTCCAACAACCACCACCACCTCCAACAACCACCACCAACCACCTCCAACAACCACCTCCAACAACCACCACCTTCTCCAACAACCACCTCCAACAACCACCACCTCCAACAACCACCACCTCCTCCAACAACCATCACCACCTCCAACAACCACCAACAACCACCTCCAACCACCACTACCTCCACCAACCACCACCAACAACCACCACCACCTCCAACAACCACCTCCAACAACCACCACCAACTACCACCACCAACCACCACCAACCACCACCACCAACCACCACCTCCAACAACCACCACCAACCACCACCACCTCCAACAACCACCACCAACCACCACCAACCACCACCACCAACCACCACCACCAACAACCACCACCACCACCAACAACCACCACCACCTCCAACAACCACCACCAACCACCACCACCAACCACCACCACCAACAACCACCACCACCACCAACAACCACCACCACCTCCAACAACCACCACCAACCACCACCACCAACCACCACCACCACCAACCACCACCAACCACCACCACCACCAACCACCACCTCCAACAACCACCACCTCCAACAACCACCTCCAACAACCACCACCAACCACCACCACCAACCACCATTACCTCCAACCACCACCACCAACCACCACCACCAACCACCACCACCACCACCAACCACCACCACCAACCACCACCACCTCCAACAACCACCACCACCTCCAACAACCACCACCACCTCCAACAACCACCACCAACCACCACCACCAACCACCACCACCTCCAACAACCACCACCACCTCCAACAACCACCACCACCTCCAACAACCACCACCAACCACTACCACCAACCACCACCACCTCCAACAACCACCACCACCTCCAACAACCACCACCAACCACCACCAACCACCACCACCTCCAACCACCACCACCAACAACCACCACCACCTCCAACCACCACCAACCACCACCACCAAACACCACCAACCACCACCACCACCACCACCAACAACAACCACCACCACCAACCACCACCACCTCCAACCACCACCACCAACAACCACCACCACCTCCAACCACCACCAACCACCACCACCAAACACCACCAACCACCACCACCAACAACAACCACCACCAACAACCACCACCACCACCAACAACCACCACCACCTCCAACAACCACCACCAACCACCACCACCAACCACCACCACCAACAACCACCACCACCACCAACAACCACCACCACCTCCAACAACCACCACCAACCACCACCACCAACCACCACCACCACCAACCACCACCACCAACCACCACCACCACCACCAACCACCACCTCCAACAACCACCACCTCCAACAACCACCTCCAACAACCACCAACAACCACCACCACCAACCACCATTACCTCCAACCACCACCACCAACCACCACCACCAACCACCACCACCACCACCACCAACCACCACCACCAACCACCACCACCTCCAACAACCACCACCACCTCCAACAACCACCACCACCTCCAACAACCACCACCAACCACCACCACCAACCACCACCACCTCCAACAACCACCACCACCTCCAACAACCACCACCACCTCCAACAACCACCACCAACCACTACCACCAACCACCACCACCTCCAACAACCACCACCACCTCCAACAACCACCACCAACCACCACCAACCACCACCACCTCCAACCACCACCACCAACAACCACCACCACCTCCAACCACCACCAACCACCACCACCAAACACCACCAACCACCACCACCACCACCAACAACAACCACCACCACCAACCACCACCACCACCAACCACCACCACCAACCACCACCAACCACCACCACCAACCACCACCACCAACCACCACCAACCACCACCACCAACCACCACCAACCACCACCAACCACCACCATCACCAACAACAACCACCACCACCAACCACCACCACCAACCACCACCAACCACCACCAACCACCACCACCAACCACCACCAACCACCAACAACAACCACCAACAACTGCCACCACCACCAACTACCACCACCACCACCAACCAGCACCAACCACCACCACCACCAACCACCACCACCAACTTTATCTCTTGCACGCACGCGTCAGACCCCGAGCAAGCGCTCGGGCTGGGGCAGCTCACACGGAGCGAGAGGATGGGCAGCGCGAGTGGGAGCCGCGGGGATGGTGAACCCCGTAGCCCTCCTCCACTCTTACCACGCGATGGGTGGCGTCGGGAGAGAGGCGGTCGCACTCGATCACTCAATAACTCGATCACTTAATCACTCAATCAATCGATCACTTAATCACTCGATCACTCAATAACTCGATCACTTAATCACTCAATCAATCGATCACTTAATCACTCGATCACTCAATCAATGGATAAATTAATCATTCGATCTCTCATTCAATTACTCAATCACTCGATCACTCAATCAATGGATCAATTCATCAATCGATCACTCAATCAATTACTCACTCAATCACTCGATCACTCAATCAATTACTCACTCAATCACTCGATCACGCAATAAATTACTCAATCACTCGATCACTCAATCAATGGATCAATTAATCACTCGATCACTCAATCAATTAATCACTCAAATACTCAATCACTCAATCAATTACTCACTCAATCACTCGATCACTCAATAAATGGATCAATTAATCACTCGATCACTCAATCAACTACTCACTCAATCACTCGATCACGCAATCAATGGATCACTCAATCAATCACTCGATCACTCAACCAATTAATCACTCGATCACTCAATCAAATAATCACTCAATAAATTAATCACTCAATCACTCGATCACTCAATCAATTAATCATTCAATCACTCGATCAATCAATTACTCACTCAATCACTCGATCACTCAATAAATGGATAAATTAATCACTCGATCACTCAATTAATTACACACTCAATCACTCGATCACTCAATTAATGGATCACTCAATCAATCACTCGATCACTCAACCAATTAATCACTCAATCACTCACTCAATGACTCACTCACTCGCTCACTTATTCACTGGCCTACTCAATCACTCACTGCCTCAATTATTCTATCACTCACTCACTTGCTCACTTATTCACTGGCCAACTCAATCACTCACTGCCTCAATCACTGCCTCACACAGTGACTCGCTCGCCGAATTATTCACTCGCGTATCCAATCGCTCCCTCACTCACTGCCTCAATCACTCTCTCAATCACTCTATCACTCACTCAATGACTCACTCACTCACTGCCTCAATCACTCTATCACTCAATGACTCCCTCGCTAACTTATTCACTCACCTACTCAATGACTCACTGCCTCAATCACTGTATCACTCAATGACTCACTCACTTATTCACTGGCCTACTCAATCACTCACTCACTGGCTCACTCACTCACTGCCTCAATCACTCAATGAGTCACTCACTCGCTAACTGATTCACTCGCCTCCTCAATCACTTACTCACTGGCTCAATCACTCACTCGCACGCCGACTTATTCACTCGCTTACTCAATTGCTCACTCTTTCAATGCCTCAATCACTCTATCACTCACTCAATGACTCACT